CCCAGAGAATCTATCAATAGCGAACTTAGCAACAACAATATGTAGAATTTTTTGATGAGAAAGTAACATTTCTGTTTATTATTATATGTCAGGGTATACATTTTGCCACATGTCAAACTAACTGTTCTGCCAGAATATTTCAAAGAAATAACACATCCTATTATGATTACTCTTGCATATTTATTTTACTTAAGAATTTTAGAATAAGCTTAAATATTTTTAATAATATGTGGGAAATGTTACTAGGATTCCTTTCTGTTTGTTGAGATTGAGTTTAGAGATTATGATCGACAGACTAGCAGCCCCTTAAATGTCTCCATGTCCTGATCCCCTGAACTTGTGTAGATGTTACCTTTGGCAGCAAAGGGATGTTCCAGATGTGAATGAGGGTATGGACTTGGGCTTGTGAAAATTTCTTGGATTATCTGTGTTCCTCCAATCCTTAAGTGTGGAAGAAGGAACTCTTAGAGTGGGTCAGAGTGATGTAACATGAGAATTCAACATGCTGTTGTTGACTCTGAAGATGATGGAAGGTGGTTGTGAGGCATATGGGCAACTTCTAAAAGCGGGAGATTGCAACAAAAAGGATTCTCCCCTAGAGAGAATTCTAAATTCTAATGGTGATACTTTTTCTTAAGCTCAGTGAGATCTATGTCAGACTTTTAAACGAATGAAGTATATTTTAGTTGTCTTAAGCAACTATGCTTATAGTAATTTGTTATAGTGGCAACAGGAAACTAATTCCGAGATTATTGACATCTATTTAATATCAAGTCAACCCATCTAGGAGAAGTGCATTTTTTCCTATTTATTAGGTTTTGTATCCTTTATAAAATTTAGTCATATTTGAAATGATCTTTCTATAGTTCATATTGTTAAGTGCTATTGAGTCGGTTCCAACTCACAGCAACCCTGTATAGGGTTTCTGAGGCTGTAAATCATTATGGGAGCAAAAAGCCTCTTCTTTCTCCCAAGGTCGAACTGCTGACCTTTTTGTTAACAACCCAGCATGTAACCCACTACACTACCAGTGCTCCTTTCATAGCTCATGTATATTTTATTAAATTGTGAATTAACTTTTTAAAGCACAAGGTTGATCATATAACTCTCTTCCTTAATTGGTTTCAAAAGCCTACTGGAACCTCAATGTGGCCCTTGAGAATTTCCATACTTTAGTTCATTTCTCCCTTTCAAACCCCATTCTTTGTTACATTCCACCTTATATCACCCCCAATAAAGTACTGAGCACAGTTCATAGTAATTTTTTATCATCACTAGGGGTGAAATAAAAATACAGACTGTACAACTAAATTTAAATTATTCCTCACAAGTAATACGTGTTAATGCTCTGTGTAATATTTTTCCTTTACCTCAATCCAAATAGATATAAATAAAATGAAACAAAACAAAATGCAAACCCATTGAGTCAATTCTAAAAATGGTGATTCCATGTGATACAGTGTAGAACTAGTCCACAGGGATTTCTTCACTGTCATTTTTATGGAAGAAGATTCCCAGGCCTGTCTTCTGTTGCTCTGCTGTGTGGGCTTGAGTTGCCAATCTTTGGGTTAGTAGTCTAGCATGAATCGTTTGCCATGAGGGGACAGGATATGAGAGTGAGTCAAAAATTACCCACATTCTGGCAGTAGAATTTATTTTAGTCAACATTTAGAAAAGACAAATACATCATTTTTTTGGACATACTCTCCTTGCTTTTCAATGCACTCTGTCCATCTGTCAACAAGCTTTTGCATTCCCTTATTAAAAAATATCTTATGCTAAGCTGCAAGCCACGAATGGACCACTGTCTTCATTGCTTCAACAGAGGTGAATCTTCATCATTGAAGGGCTTCTTTCAAGGGACCAAACAGGTGAAAGTCCAGTGGAGCTACATCAGGGATATACATCTCAAAATGGAATTTTTGTAGTGTGTCAACAGTGTGGGCAGAGGTGTGTGGACTTACATTGTCCTGCAAGATCACAACTTCCTTGGATAACAGTCTTCTGCATTTAATCTGAAGTTTAGGCTTCAGCCCTTCAATGAGCATCTCACTGTAACGAGCTCTGTTGATTATTGAACCGTTTTCCTGATAGTGTCCAATTCTGGCCCTTGAAATTTCCAGAAAACTGTAAGCATCAATTTTCCTGCTGATGGCTGACTTTTTAACTTTTTCTTGGTCGGTGATTGAGGATGTTTCCATTACATACTCTGCCATTTACTCTCAGGTTCATATGATGAATCCATGTCTCATCACCAGCAATGATTATTTAAGAGGAATTTTTACCTTCCTTCGAGTATCAGTCCAAATTTTGTTTGCAAATGTCCAAACGCTTCTGTTTATGCTCTTCCATAAGTTGTTTTGATACCCATCTCGCACAAACTTTTGGAAACCCAAATGTGCCGTGGATTATTTCATAGGCAGAGTCATGGCTGATTTGCAAATGATATGTCACATAATCCATTGTCGCTTGTCTATTAGACAGAATCATTTCACATGCATGCTTAATGTTGCCATCAGCTGTGGATGTGGACAGGCATTTTAATACAACTAGAGTGTGGATAATTGTTGACTCACCTCGTATGTAAGTATGGATTGTCATTTTGTTGTTAAATGCTGTTGAGTCAGTTACAATTTATAGCAAACCCTATGTAGGATTTCCAAGGCTGTAATCTTTTCAGGAGTAGAAAACCTCACTTTTCTCCCATGGAACTATATATATATATATAATTCTCCCATGGAATTATATATATATAATATATATAAATATAATATATATATATATATAATTGTTGTTGTTAGGGTCCATTGAGTCGGTACCCATTCATAGCGACCCTATGCACAACAGAATGAAACACTGCCCCGTCCAGCACCAACCTCACAATCATTGCTACATTTGAACCCATTGTTGCTGCCACTTGGCCAATCCATCTTATTGGGGTTCTCCTTCTTTTTCTGCAACCCTCCACTTTACCAAACCTGATATCCTTCTCCAGGGACTGGTCCTTCCTGAAAATATGTCCACAGTATGAGAGGGAAAGTCTGTCCATCCTGGCTTTCAGGGAGCATAATGGTCATATGTCTGCCAACCCAAGTTGCGGTAGGCAGTTAGAAATTAAAGTTTAGCTAGATGTCCTGTATTCCTTACTTGCTACATCTGGCAATCCTACTTAGGATCTTTATGAGGTTTCTCTTTACTTTGTTTCTGACCATAGCAATCCTTCAGGACCCAGTCAGATACCAACTTTAACAGAAGCCCTTTGGACTTTGTTTGTAAGTTTGTTGGTTGCATGTCTTTCAGATTGCAACTTTGTGAAGTGTTTATTCTCTTCCATTTGTCCATAATACCTTATAGCTTATAGACCCTTAGTAAACATTTGCTGAAGTAAGTCTCATAACAAAGCTTATTGATAAGGTAAGATGGGCTTTGTTGTTGTTGTTAAGTGCTGTCGCACTGGTTCTGACTCTGTACAGGATTTCTGAGGAGCAGCTGGTTAACAGTTCAGTGTTTATTCTACAGTGCTAGACCAGGACTTCAACGTGAACATTATTCTTTTCTAAAAATCATGGCATTGCATTTGTCATTAAAACACATTTAGTAAAAATGGAAACTCCATATAAAATTGTTGAGTGCTTTAATTAAAAGTGAGGAAGTTATGCCAGCAGAGAACTAAGAGACCCAAACCAAAATACTCCCACACTGGGGCTATGGATAGCTAACAAAGACATTTTGCCTGGTGCCTTAGACAGAATCGCTGGTTCTGTGAGCAAGCTCCCAGGATTAAATATGAATGTAGAATACTAATGTTTTCCCCTTTGGATAAATTCAGATGAACCATGGAGGGCTTCAGAAAGGTTTGAACTAGTTCAGTCAAGGCTGACAAAGCGCAATCAGACAGACCTGGATTTAAAAAAATTGTGTGAAACAGGACAATAACTGGAACGGGAAACTTATGTGCTGAGACCCTGAAATAAGAGACTTCAAAGAGGCATGCATATTGCCAGGGCTACCGAGGGTGGCACATTCCAAATGGTTCAGGTGGCCACCATCTTTGAGTAGGGTACTGCTGTTTCTGACTCTACCAGTCAAGAGATTTGGTTGCTCTACAACTTGCTCACTGCCTTTGTTTTCTAAGAAATAGACTAAGTTTCTTAGCAGGGTTCCAATTCATAATTTCTCTCATTTTGGTTAGCGTTCCGGTTCACCCACATTTTAACAACTCTGATCTGTCCCATTGCTACTTCATTAGCCGTGACTGAATCAGGAAGACCAGGTTTAAAGTCCCAGAAACATGCAATAAGCTGATTTTGAAACTATTTGCTAGATGTGATATATCTTTATAACATCCAAGATGTTTGTCCCAATAGACAACAGCTAGAAATTGAGCTCCAGGACAATTATGATTACTGAAATTGGTGTTGGTAAACTTTCTTCTGTGTAACAATGTCCCTTCAAACACTTGTGCCAAGCAATCCCTACCAAGGGACGAAGTCAACTTACTGTTACATTGGGAGACAACAGCATGTTTAAGGTCTTTCATCATTTCAACTCCTACATTGGACCTTGAGAAAAAACCAAAAAAACCCAGAATGATTAATTAGCTTTCTGCCTGTCCTCCCAGTACAGATAATATAATTCACCTGCTTTGGAGCGAAGGCAGATTTTAAACGATTATTGTTGAAGTAAAATTTAGAATATTGAGCATTGCAAATATATTAGGATTTTGGAAGACGGTTTGCTCTGCTGAGAACACCAAAGTTCAGGGCTGCTCTGCTCATTGGCCAAACGCAATCAATGGGTCTTGGAGTTTTAGATTCAAAATATTTTTTAATCTTCAAGTTCCTTTCTTTATGCTCTATAGTAACTATGCAAGTTCACATTATATATTTCTTAGATTATTGTACACCTCTAATTGGCTAGCTTCTCCCAGTTTTACCTCAACAAAATTCTTCAACACCACTGTTAAAGCATCCTTTCTAATTGCAAAAGCAACTACGCTGCTGCTTAAAATCTTTATTGTCTCTGCATCACTTACTAAGGGTGCCAGGCTCCTCAGCATGAAAACCTTTTGATCGCATGACCCTCTTTATCCAGGTTTGACAGTTAAGGTTTTGTGTCCACTTGACCGGGCCAGGATTCTCAGTGGTTTGGCAGTTAAAATGGAGTTAACACCTACATGATGAATTCTAGTACAACACGATCCATCCTAAGATGTGGTCTGATGTGATCAGCCCTGCTCTGATGCAATTGTCCAATGTGTTGTCAATGCTCACTCCTATGACGTTAACGAGGTCAGATGCAATCTACAGGATTAGGCTGTGTCTTGAGCCAATTTCTTTTGAGATAGGAAATGAGAGAGAAGTGAGCAGAGAAAGAAGGAACCACTACTGCCAAGAAAGAGGAGCTGTCAGTGGAGGGCATCCTTTGGACATGCGATTTCTGCACTGCAAAACTCCTCAATCCAGGGAACAACTGGTGTCAAGAAATACAGAGATCTCTAAGGAATGCTGGACCTACAGATGCCGGAGGAAGACAAAGAAATAGCTCTGTCCAGAGCCAGTGCTCTGCATTTGGACTTGCAGCCTCCTAAACTGGGAGAGGATACATTTCTGCTTGTCAAAGTCATCTCCTCATGGTATTTCTGTTATAGCAGCACAAGAGAACTAAGACACTATACTTCCTATTACACTATCACATTTTCTCAGAAAATTGCTTATGTAAGTTTATGACGGGAGGTAATTTATTTGTCTTGTCCACTCCTGTATCCCTAACATTTGGCCAAGATTAGTGTTCAATCAAATGCAGGAATAAATATACATTGTATTTATTTCCTCCAATACACACAGGTAGATGAAAGACTACCTAACTCCTCCTGCTTCAAAGTCCTTACTCCCTTTGGCCTACCCTTTGTTTCAGACCCACATTTGTGTTTATGTAAGTCAAGAAGACTTACATAAAGCAAGAAGAAAGGGGCCAAGGTAGAATGGGGACCCAGGTGCCAGGTAAAACAGGTTTATAAATGGTGTCTGATCATCTGCTTTGGTTGCCTCTTAAGGTTGAATCCCAAGAGGAGGGAAGGGGTCAACATGCCTTTCACTCTTAGTGGGACTTAGGCATGGACACAGGTAGTGGGTGGGGCAAGATTTGATGAGCTACATAATCAGTGATAAAAGGAAAGAAACAGAAACCCAACTAGGCTTTTAATAGTTTCAGAAGGACGTCAAAGACTACAGATTAGGAACCAAAACTTGGATAACTAGGTAAGATTCTAAAATGTATATAGTCACTATTTCCTCTTAGCAATTAAAATGTCTTTTGAATCTTTAAAGGAAAAAAGACCATACACATGGCTTTGGAAATGACTAAGAAAGCAATTGCTGCAAATCTAACATTTTGCTCTGTTGCCAGGCCTGTTGTTGCTGTTAAGTGCCATCGAGTTGGTTCTGACCCTGTATAGGATTTCCGACGAGCGGCTGGTGAGTTTGAACCATCAACATTTTGGTTCAAACTGACTTTGCAGTCCAGCGCATTCACACACAGCGCCAGGCCTAGAGGAGGGGAATGCCAAGTAATAAAATGGATGGTGGCAGAATGGAGTGAGAAAAGGCAGTGAACTGAGTCTCTGAGGTTTATGGAAAGTTGGCAAATGAGCTAGAGTCTGGAATTAGTAGATGGTCTCAGGGATTGGCAAGAGAAAGACTCATAGGTTTTGTGATTTGTGGTGACCACAGGTATGATACTTACTCTTTGTCAGTGCTCATAATGATCCATGAAAAGACCCTGATAGTTCATTTGCAGCAGTGAAGTGTTTTCCAGTTTAGCAGAGAACAAGGAGATCAAGAAATTAGCATCTGTTTATAAGCAAGAGGAGAAAGACATGCTGTTGATGCATCCATGATTGATAGAGATATGCTTACACTCCATTATGTGAAGGCCTTTTCAGTCAGGGTGTGATGACTAATTTATCAATTTAAGTAGGCTATGGTTCTCAGTGCAATGCAGAAATCATCGGACAATATCTTTGATATCCCATGCCAGTAAAGTTTTACTAAAGGTAATACAGAAATGGCTGCAAGCATATATTGACAGAGAACTTCCAGAGGTTCAAGCCGGATTCAGAAGAGGCCGTGGAACGAGGAATATCACTGCTGATGTCCGATGGATCTTGGCTGAAAGCAGAGAATACCAGAAAGATGTTTACCTGTGCTTTATTGACTATGCAAAGGCTTTTGACTGTGTGGATCATGACAAGCTATGCGAAGTATGCGTATTCCAGAACACTTAGTATGCTCATGAGGAATCTCTGCATGGACTAAGAGACAGTTGTTCAAACAGAGCATGGCAACACTGAATGGCTTAAAATTAGGAAAGGTGTGCGACGGGGTTGTATTCTTTCACCATACTTATTCAACCTGTATTCTGAGCAAATAATACGAGAAGCTGGGTTATATGAAGTAAAATGTGGCATCAGGATTGGAGGAAGACTAATTAACAACCTGAGATATGCAGATGATACAACCTTGCTTGCTGAAAGTGAAGAGGACTTAAAATATTTACTGATGAAGATCAAGATCAAATCCATACTTCAGTATGGATTACACCTCAATGTAAAGAAAACAAAAGTTCTCAGCACTGGACTAATAAACAACATTCTTATCAATGGAGAAAAGATTGAAGTTGTCAAGGACTTCATTCTTCTTGGATCAACTATCAACACTCACGGAAGCAGCAGTCAAGAAATCAAACGACATATTGCATTAGGCAAATCTTCTGCACAAGACCTTTTTAAAGTGTTGAAAGGCAAAGAAATCAGCTTACGAACTAAGGTGCACCTGACCCAAGCCATGGTATTTTCAATCACCTCATATGGATGTGAAAGCTGAACAGTGAATAAGGAAGACCGTAAAAGAATTGATGCTTTTGAGTGGTGGTGTTGGAGAAGAATATTGAAAGTGCCGCGGGCTGCCAAAAGAACAAATAGATCCGTTTTGGAAGAAATGCAGCCAGAGTGCTCCTTGGAAGCCAGGATGGCCAAACTTCTTCTCTCATACTTCGGACATATTGTCAGAAGGGACTAGTCGCTGAGCAGGACATTGTGTTTGGTAAGGTGGAGGGTCAGAAAAAAAGAGGAAGATCCCCAACGAGATGGACTGGCCAAGTGGCAGCATCGATGGACTCAAGTGTGGCAACAGTAGTGAGGCTGGCCCAGGACTGGGCAGTGTTTTGTTCTGCTGTGCATAAATAAGGTCTCTATGGGTACCGTCTCGATGACACCTAACAACAACAATGAGGATGAAGAAGTATGGATGTTATCATACATTATTCAAGGAATCCTCTTATGGTGTACCATCTATGTTAACAGACAGCAGAACATTTCCCCACAGAATATAATTAATAAGTAAAGGAATGACTGACTCTGAGACTATTCCACATTATGGAGAAGTACAGGCATACATGCTATGGAGTTCCTCCTTTGCAGCCATCTTTTATTAAGCTATTCAGTGAAAATGCACATGTTGGCAGTGGCAGCCATGAGTAGGGGACCTCATGAAGACATCACGTCTGGTCTGAATCCTGAGTAGAGGAGGAATCTGAGAGGACCATGCTCAATAACTGAAATGGGTAATGTAAAATGAAAGTATATTTACCTGGTGAAAAGACTTTTCTCCTTGACAGTCAGATAAGAAATTTCTCGATTCTTGGTGGTCATGTGGGTCAAGGCCCCACAGGGCATATGTTGAGGTTTCACACAGTAGAAAGCTTCTTGATCTCCAGCATCCAGGTATTGGCACAGTTCTTCACTCGTGTTGAGGGCCAGGCCACACTCAGTGAAGACATGGGTAGTGCCATTGGTAAACTTACCATTGAAAATAATCTTGTTGTAGCCTTGGTTCCTTGCTCTCCAGAGAGCTGACACCCCTTCACTGGGGTGGAGGAGCAGCAGGGACAGAGACACCTTGCCCTCCCAGAACAGAGTGAAGCGGACAAGGTAGGTGCCATTGTTGAAGTCAGTCACCTACTCTGAAGCACCTGCTTTCAGGGCTGGGGAAGATATCCTGGCTCTCAGGAAATCCCCACCGTACTCCTTCCTGCATCCCAGGTGGTCCCTCATTTCCAGCAGCAGGTCTAGCTGCTCCCCGGTGCAGTAGGTGTCTTGAGGGTTTAGCACGGTGACTCTACTGTAGGCTGCGCTGCTGGTGGCATTCATGTGGGGGAAAGGTCTGGGTGGCATCAACTGCTCTAATTTCTTCATGATTTCCTTTACCCTCAGGTCAGTCTCTGTTGATCTCAGTGGTGCTTCAGGGTCTGAGAGTATCATGGTAGGACTCTAATGACACAGGGAGATGGGAAAGTTGAAGTCAGACCAAAACTGAGATGAACAGGAATGTGTCTTACTATGAAATGAACCAGTCTCTAATAATTTTTACTTACAGTGAGCATAAATATGTATTTACATATCATCAACATTATTTAGAATCTCTGAAAATTATTGATAAAGTATGGAAATTCCTATTTTCACCACCATCTTTTAGAGAATGCCTGATAACTGTGAATAAAGTGTTAAACCTAAAATGTGTAGCTCAGCGAATACTTACAGGAGCAAATAAAACAATATTGCTAATAGGGTTCCAGTTCATACATACACAGGCATATTCTAAAGTTCAGAAGAATTAGGAAAGTAGGAGAAATGAAAACAGGAAACAGGGAAGAGGAGGGATAAGTAATGTTCTATTGTTGTTGTTAAGTACTGTCAAGTTTATTCTGACCCATAGTAACCCTGTATAGGGTTTCTGGGGAGCAGCTGGTGAGTTTGAACCACCAACCTTGTGGCTCAAACTACTTTGCAGTCTAGCTCATTAACCCGCAGCACCATACGAGGACTCCATGTTATACTGATGGGATTGCAATTGAAGAGATGAACCAAAATATGTATGAATTGTTGAATGTAACGCTGATTTTCTGCTCTGTAATCCTTCCCACAATTCACAATAAATTTTTTTTTTTTTTTAAAGGGAGAAAACGTGTTTAAACATGTCTCTGTGACCAGTGGTTGACTACAGACAAATTTTCTTACAAGGCTACACTTAGTTGCATTATTGTTGTTGTTGTTAAGTGCTGTCGAGTCAGCTCTGACTCATAGCAACCCTGTGTAAAATTTCCAAGTTATGGCTGGTGGATTTGAACTGCTCTCCTTGCAGTTTACATCGACCTTGAGGTCCAGTGCGTTATCCTGTAGCACCACACCAGGACGCCTAGTGGAACTGTTGTGGTTGGTGTTGTTAAGTGCCATTGAGGTGGCTCTGACTAATAGTAACCCTATATAAGGTTTTCAAGGAGGAGCTGATGAATTTGAACTGCCAACCTTGTGATTCAAACTGACTTTGTGGTCCAGTGCTTTATTCCACAAAGCCACACCATTAGGGCACCCTAAACAAAACAAAACAAAGTAGTCCACTCAAAACAGTGACTTCCCAAGGCCAGTTAAATTCAGTCAAAGAGGTCAGCTCCGAAGATTATTGTGCTGTGGTGACTCTAGCCATAGTCTTTGTAAGTCCCACCTAACTGCATTTTCCTAATGCGCCTGGGTAAGAGAAGGCGAGGGAAGATGCTGATGGATTATAGGATTCAGTTATGAGTGACTGTTAACTGAGTTAATTGTGAAAATTTGGAACTTATATGGGTATAAAATGAGCCATCTTAGAAGCAGGAGGGGTAATCTCATTACCATTCAAGAAAAAGAGCCAGGAGTGGAGTATGTCCTTTGGACCCCAAGACCTCTGTGCATTGAACCTCCATCACCCAAGGTCAGAAAGCTGTGACCCTGGAGGAGTGGCAGAGGAGCAGCAGTGGCAGAACCAAAAGCCAGAGCATGAAAAGAGCGGTGCTCCAAGCCCATGGAGTCAATAAAGATGTGTGACTCTCAAAGATCATTGAAAAGGGAACACAATTTGAGTCCTTGAAAGATGCCAAACTGCCATTTTAACGTGATAAATTTCAAAGAGTGAAAAATTCTTTGGGGGAAGGGTTATTGTGATAGAGACACCACCCTCAGAAAGTGCATAGATCTAAATGAAGCACATGCTGAGAAACAATAGCTTTAAATGATATATTTTTCTAAAGAAAGTTTTCTATGATTTTGTAGCAATACTTTTTGATTTACTCCCATTTGAGTAATAAATTGATGCAGGTGCATTTGATCTTCCTTTTATTATGCACCTGCCATCCATTCTTCACTAATTTCTCTCTCTCTCTTTTTAAATAACATTGCATTGATTTTCTATACTTGTTGTTCAATGATATTTGTTATGTTCCATTTCCATTAATTTAGCTTTCTTGTACCCCTTACTTTCTCATCATTGCTGGAGGGTAAATATTGACTATTTGGTCTCATGTAGATGATTTGTAAAGGAGCTCTGGTAGCGTAGTGGTTACGAATCGGGCTGTGAACCTCAAGGTCAGCAGTTCAAAACTACCTGCTGCTCTGCAGGAGAAAAATGAGGCTTTCTGCTCCCATAAAGATTTACAGCCTCGGAAACCCTGCTCAGGGTCGCTATGGGTCAGAATTGACTTGATGGCACTTAACAACAACAACAACAATAACAGATGATTCATAAAAGATCATAGTACTAATGGGTGATATCATTTATTTATTGATTTTTAAACTTTTTGTTGTGAATTGAGTGAAGGTTTATAGACAGATCATCAGGTTACATTCAGAAAATCATATACTTTATTTTCATTACAATGATTGCAATCCCCTCTATGTACCAACAGTTAACAGTTGATGTTGTTGTTAAGTGTCATCGAGTTGATTCTGACCCATAGCTACCCTGTGTATGGTTTCCAGTATTTACCTGTATTCACTAACTACTACATTCTTCCCTGTATCTCCTCTACTTTATCCTTCCTCTGCTAACCACCCTCAGTTGTATATTGCCTGCCCCATCACCCACGGTAACATGTGCCTACCTTCTAGCCTGTAAATCATTTTCCATACCCCTCCCCACCAATCACCATTGATTGTTTCTTTTATTAAGAAAATCTTTTTTTAGCTTTTTCCAGCACTGGTCTCATACAATATTTGTCCTTATGTTATTGACTAATTTCCCTCAGCATAACATCCTCCAAAGTTCAACCATGTTGTGAAGTGTTTTACAGATTCATCGTTATTCTTCAACATTGCATTATATCCTATTGTGTGATGTAACAAAATTTGTTTAACCAGTCTATTGATGAACACTTAGGCTGTCTCTGTCTTTTTGATATGTCTCTTGTAGACACCATACTGATATTTCCTGTTTCCTTATCCATTCTGTTCTTTATGTTTCTTGACTGGGGTATTTAATCTATTTGCATTCTGTGTAATAATCAGTAGATATGAGTTGATTGCTGTCATTTTTCTGTGTGTGTGTGCTTTTTTTTGGTGATGCTGTTGGTTTCTTTGTTCCACGTAATTTTCTGCACTGACTGAGTTCATTTTTTTTTTTTTTTTGTGGCTTTTGTTTTCATTTTCTTGATTTCTGTTGTGTTCATGTTTATTAAATCTTTCTGGTTTCCCTTTTTATTTTGAAGTGGAGGTTATTGATTTTCTTTGAATTTATTATTTTTCCTTCTCTATTTAAGACAGTCTGTGTTATCTTGAAATCTACTTGAATTCTTTCTATTTGGAAGTTCTGTATCTACACTATTCCCTCTTTTTGCTGTGCAGTTGACTTCATTATAAATTGATATTGCTGGTTCCCTATTTCCAGTCTTGTAGGTTTGTTTTTCCTTTAAATACTTCTATATCTGGATTGAATTCTCAGTGATACTGACATGTATGGTAATCTTAGGTCGTTGTCTGCTGTTGTTGGTTCTCAGTCTTGTAAAGTTGGTCTGGTCATTACAAATTCCTTGAATTTCTTTTTATCAGGAAATGACGTAATTTTGCTGTCATATCTGAGGGACATCTTTGCTGGGTATATGATCTTGTAGAGGTTTTCTTAATTCTTCTAAGGTTTTTTTCCGTGTTGTCCTTGCTTTCCTTGATATTTCTGTTAATCCTTATAAGGTACCTAAATATAATTTTTTGGAATTCCTTTTCAATTAGTTCCATTACCTTTTCTTCCTCAGAATTATTTTCTGGATCCTCATCTTTGTCATTTGTTGGAGCCATTCATTCTTGTTTCTTCATGTGAGGTGAAATTGTCTGTGTCTCTGGGGCATTTTGGGGTTGTACTTGTATTTAATGGATGATTGTCTGTTGATGTGTTCTTAGGCTCTTGCCAACTGTTTTCTGTGAGTGTCATTAGAGAATGGAAGTGTGTATACCGTTCTCATTCACTGTTTATTTACTGCAATTTAGGGTGGTTTGGCTGGTGTGTTGGCTGCTTTCTATTGCTGATCAGGTGATATGGGAGCTGGTATTAGCTCTTCCCTCGTGGTTGGGCTGTATGGGCAGTTTCTGTCTCCTGTTGGGTGGGAAAGCGAAAACCCTTCACCCCCTCAAAAACATAAGAAAACAAAACAGAATAAACAAAGAATGAACAATAAAAAGAGAAGGTAATAAAGGAAAAATTAAATAAAAACAGGCAGCAACCAGAAAAAAAGATTGTAATAAATATGAAGACAGAAGAGGGACAGGGGAATAGAGTAATAGAAGTTAAAAATAAGAGAGGAAATTAAAAACCACTTAAGAAAAAATAAAAAGAGAAAAGAGTTACTAGAATATGGAACTATAGAAGAGAAAAATAAGAGAGGAAATAAAAGGAAGAAATTAAACACTTAGAACAACTGGAGAGAGGAAAGATGAAAAGACAGAATAAAGAGTAATAAAGAAAGATCAAAAGGGGGAAGAAGAGGGGAAATGAGAAACAGAAGAAAAGAAGGAAAAACAAAAGCAGAGCTAGAAAAGGTAAAATTCAAGGGAATGGAAAGAGAAGAAGGAGAAGAAAGAATAAATAAACAAACAAAAAATGAAGCAACAAAAGGAAAACCAAAAAACAACCCCCCACTCCAAAACAAAACAAAACAAAAATAGTGTAGCTGTTGGACCCAGAGAGGAAAAACTCTGGGGGCTCCTGCAAACCAAGAAGCTCATGAGGTGAAAGTGGGAGAGATGCGACAGCAGAGTTCCTGACCCTAGATGGAGTTCTGACCAGTCTTGGTGTTATATATGTTCAGGGCACTCAGTCTGGAAGCAGTTCATGAGGTCCTCGATGGAACTAGCTTCAGTGTCTGTTAGGACCACCGGTCAGCTGAGGGAAGGGTGTCTGGTTAAATGCTCATCTGGTGTCTGTGTGGGCTCTGTAGGTCTACAGTTGCTTATGCCTGAATCGA